TACCAAAACAAAAACTGCCACTCTAGAATTGGACTTCTTAAGCCTGGCACTCACTGTAGGAGACGGTCATCGGCCGACGCGATTCTATAAAGAACACAACGTGTGACGATTCGCTCACACTGCTAACGATAATCTACAGATGACATCACGTCGTCTACCGCTTACATGGAGCGGAGTTAGATTTGTCGTTTGATGGTCATACAGCTGTCGCACAACGGAGTAAGTGCCCTGCGTTAGTCATCTCAGAAAATGTTCCTCCCAACCGGATCAACAAGGAATCCCTTTAGGATGAATATTATGCAATTATCTCTTGGGATAAGTTGCCAATACAATACTGATTATCATGTTTATTTATTTATTTATTTAAAAAAAATTTCCTTCCCATCCCACAGCAAGTACACTCACCCCTTACAGGATGGATGGATGCTTTATAAACCAAGTCTTTAATTGAGGCTTAGAGAGTATGAGTTGTTTTTGGTGTTGTGAGAAAAAGTCCTGCTGTGACAGGGATTGAACACAGGACTCCGGGATTAGAAGGCAAGCACCTAACCACTAAGCCATTCAACTCCACTCCATTTAAGTATTTCCTGCATCCACCCCACACAATTTTGCACTAATAATAAAACTAAGGAGCTACTAAAGTGATATATTACTGTACTGTAAATACATTGGTAGCAAGTCAGTAGATCTATATGAGGCAGGTTGTGGAAAAATGGCTAAGTAGTAGCAAAAATTGAAATTCAAGTTATTGGTATTTTGTGCGATAACTTAACCATTTCGCCACGACCTGCCTCACATTTAAATTTTAAAATTCAAAACAAGCAATAATAGTTTATTGCACAGTACCTGTGACAAAACATTAAATCCCCCACTTCCAAGGTGTCCAGATGTTTTGTTAAAGTACTATCTATCTCAGTTAATAGATCCCTTAACAATTCTGAAAAAAAAAGACAATGAAAAGTTGATATACAAAAAGTAATGTAATGCTATGATTTTATGATATGCTGATAATATATGTTCGTTCTTTAATCATATATGATCCTAGATAAAATTAATGGGGGGGGGGAGGGCAATGGCCGGCTAACCCCCCCCCCCCCTTGAATCCACCACTGTGTAATCTTATGAATATACATACTCCTATGATCCCCTTATGAATTTATGATTTGATATAAATATATGAACTTTACATCCTATTATTTATGATCCACAGAACTTACTGTATATGACACCACTGTATGATCATATATGATTATACTCTCAGATGATACCTTGATCATATATGAACTAATTATTATACTGTACTTTGATCATATATGAACATTACATGCTTTGATAATTCATGATCCACTAAACATGATGCCACTCTATGATCAAACCGTAAAACTTTGAATTGAAGCCCTAGGCTTCGTTTTTTTTGTTTTGAACTTTGGATGGGGTTCTTTCAAGATGGGTTTCTTTTTGGATTTGTGCTTCTTTTCGAGGCCACTTTTGCAAATTAAAGAGGGGGGGGGGGGCCTTCTTTTCAAAATGAATGCTATACATTTTGGAAATTACTGCTATAAAACAATAAATATGGTTACTGTAACATCAACCTGTATCATAGTGAGTACAGTACTTCCGGCATTAAATAACTATATAAACCAATCATGTTTTAAATTTATTTTGTTTCTTTGAAATTCATGTACAGTGTATGTACTGTACAATCTTGAAAAGAAGCCTTTGCTATCTTGATAAACACTCCATGGGCTTCTTTTTGAGGATAATTTGAGGAGGAAGTGGGCTTTAACTCGAGATGAGCTTCTTCTTGAGATTAAGCCTGCTGGGCTTCAATTCGAGGTTTTACGGTACATGATCATACTATCAGAAGATATTTTGATCATATATGAACTTATTATTATACTTTGATCATATATGAACTTATTAGCATACTTGATCATATATGAACTAATTATCATTTGATTATATATGAACTAATTATCATACTTTGGTCATATATGAACTAATTATCATACTCTGATCATATTATCTAATTATAATACTTTGATCATATATGAACTAATTATCATACTTTGATCATATATGAACTAATTATCATACTTTGATCATATATGGACTAATTATCATACTATGATCATACATGAAGCAATGAGCCTGTTCCTCAGATAACTACAATAACACAGAAAACACAGTAGGAGGAAACATTTTTTTAACTGAATTTCCTTGTAAAAATAACCTTGAAATAACACGCAAAACAATAGAAACCTACACAATTGTTATCATACCCAATTCAATTGCTATCTCACAAAGCTATTAATCAGAATATTGGAACTATCTCTCACTTATATAAATTTAAATTGTACAAAGATCTCTGTCAGTCATGCACAGCTTACCTAATTTTCTAGTCATTCCAGATTCTAGAAAATCGGTGTACACATTCTCTAAGTAGAAAGTAAAACACCAATACGCCTCCACTTCATCTTGGAGGATTACTAGAAACCGACTTAGAATATCATTCATTCCCTGAGCATATGTCACATCTAAAAGAAAAAAGCATAAACAATTAAAACACATTTTTTAAACAAATCTATGAACACCCAATTATTATCATTAAATGGAATGGTAGGCCTACATACTTGTCTTAAGAAAGAGGTTATTCAATTTTGGGATGCTTCCATCGGAAAAAATTAAGTTTATCGACATCCCGAAATGGATTTTCCAACATTTCTAGGAAGCATTTTAAGAGATAGACTAATTTTTAAGGTTATTATAAGTTAATTTCTCTTTAGCAAAATTATGGAAAATTTCACTTTTAGGAGACTGTGTCCCTCTCCTTAATTAAATGACAACATACCAGCACAAGACCACAACATACCTGGATGGAAAACTGCAAACGTAATGAGAATGTCACGAAGAAGTGTAAGGTTTGGATTCTTGTCACCTCTGAAGAAACAGAAAGGAAACGTTGAAACGTTAATAATGTATTAAATATAATAAATAATAATTTTATTTATTTTAATGTTCCTTTATAAAATGTATTCTAAATGAGAAAAACAATATTATGAAAAAGTAGCATCAGTTAAATATATGCCGTTTTCTAAAATTTTCATTTATTAATTCATTCAATCTTGGAAATTAAAATTTCATTTTTTCTGTGATTTTAACAATTACAACTTCGTCCATGGTTGTATTCACTTTTATAGGTTTTCACCCTAGATCAGGTTAACCACTGGTCCTTGTTCATCCCAAAATAAATAATGAAAACATATGCTATTTAATAATATGGTAATTTCATTTACAAAAATACACAATAAAACAGTTACATACTAGTAAAATATGACGTGTATACATAAAGCTCCGCGAAAAATTGAGTTACACAAAGAGTGGGTAAAATATTGAGTTACTCAAAAACTGGGTGAAAAATTCACTTACGTAAAAAGTGGGTGAAAAATTGACTTTTGTAAAGAGTGGGTGAAAAGTGGAGTTGAATAGCTTGGTGGTTAAGATGCTTGCCTTCCAATCCCAGGGTCCTGGGTTCAATTCCTGTCAGTGTTGCAGGAATTTTTCTCACGACCAAAACAACCCCACTCCCTAAATCTCATATTGAGATTTAGTTTGTGTAAAGCATCGTGTGTGTATGTATGGGCCCGTTCGAGCGAAAAAATATCCGTGCGATTCACCAGTTAATTCACCGGTACACACTTTCTAAAACCGCTCGGACACTAGTCTAATTACCTTTCCATCTGGATTATCCACGACAATTTTGACCACCAAATTGCTGGGTAGAATACCGTGTATGGAATGACCATGGAGCCGGAGGCGATGATAAATCAACCTTAATTGTTTTTCCAAAAGTTTTGCCCACAACCGAGCGCCAAATTCAATAGGTTTAACGGCCCAGGCGTGGTTGCAGCTCTCCTTCGCCTCCTCACAAATGCACGACGAAGTCTAAATTTAGTAGCATATAGCTAAGCTACGCGATTGATTTGTAGATTTACCATTATTCGGAGAAATAAACTTGAATAAACTAGCCTACGTACAGTATAAGTTATTAAGCTACATTATCGTTCCACCGTGCCGCGCTGTGTGTACGTGGGCTGGTTATACCAGCAGTAGCAAGTAAAGAAAGAATGGGTTGTTGACCATGGGATAAGTTGAAATTTTCTTCCGGAGTAGTTTCGTTACACGTATTTACCGTGAGCTAAAACTTGCTTGAACGGTCGACCACCCGCAGTGCTCAACGCGATTACCCGATGAAATAAACGGAATATGGTTGGCGTTTTTTTGCTCGAACGGGCCCTATGTCTCGTGTAAGGGATTGTCACCTGCAAGTTGGACAGTAATATATTCGCTATTGGCATTCCTTGGCACATATATTGTGTGCCTAAATAAATAATAAAAATAAAATAAAAGGTTGACTTTAGTAAAAGAGTGGGTGAAAAATTGACTTACGCAAAGAGCGGGTGCTCTCTATCGGTTCGAGGGACATCTTTGTCAATGATTCTTATATATTTCTTAATGGAAGAAGCATCATCTTCCCTTAGTGGCTGTCTATTTGCGTAGACGTCTCCCTGAAATTTCAATATTTCTTGTTGGGCTTCGTCAATTTGCAGAGCATGATCTAAAAAATATTGGTATTTATTTATAAAGTTATTTTCATAATAACAAAAGAGAAAACATTTTAATACCCCATCTTTTTGGTAAAATCACAAAAAATTTAATAGAGCAACAAAGACCATACAGTAATTAAATATCAAATAACTATAGTACCAATCAAAAATAATGATAAAACAATAATAATAATCTATACTTTTATACTGTAGCTCCTATGTTAACAACTTTGAGGCGCTACACAACAACATAATAATAAAAAAAAATAAATAAAATGAGCAGTGATCTTGAAATGGGGGTACTGATGGGGGAGCGAAGGTGAAGTGGGGGGGGGGGCGATGATCAGTTGAGGGACGCTAATTCGCAAAATAAGGTGATTTTTAACTACTTAGCCACGATTTTTTAGGGGCGATGGGGTGGGGGCGAGTACAGTAAATTTTGGAGGAGCATGCACCCCCCGCACCCCTAGATATGCCACTCGTCTCACCCACCAGATGGTATTACAGTAAAACGACAATTTCAGAACGGTAGTAAAACTTACTGGAACTTTGTGGGCCTGTTTTTAATGACTTGTAATTGTTATGCATTTCAAATTCATCCTCTGATCCAGGAGGACTCAACAACTTGAGTACTTTTTTCCATCTTTGCTTCAAAGATTGATATTTAAAATAGTACTCTAGTTTCATGGTTTCACGTTCCCTGTTTGAAAATGGAATATTCCAGTTTAGTGTACGGCAACAATAATACAAATCATAACGCATAGATATTTACATTCTCTTTGTACAACTCAAAAACTGTGTTTTTACACACAACATACTGGGTCAGTATAAATAAAGGCCTGGAAAAAAAATGTTTTTTTTCTCTGATCATGTCTCGATAAAATACCTCCATCACCAAATGTTATCTGTAAACAGATTATTTTTTTTTAATTTTTCCCCCAAAATTTGCATAGCACCACATAAATAAAATAAAGGTACAGCGTAGTGTGGACCTATTGTGTGTATTTAAGTTTGTGACAGAATAAATATTATTGAACGCATTATAAGTTAATGAATATGCACTAATGAATATTATGTAATACCTTCTAGTTGATTGGAAAGGATAGAGTCCAAAAAGAAACCGCCAGACATCGCATCTAATCTCATTTTCAACTCCACCTGTTCAAGCATAGACATCAATTAATATACTTGAAAAACAACCCTCCATCCATAAATAATTTTTGTGAAAAAAATATATTGTCCCCAGCAAGAATCACAAATAAGAAAAAATTTGTTTTTTCTACTACTAAAATGAAAATGAGCTATTTGATGACATTTTGCCTAGCATTTTTGATACATAATAATTAATATTACACATAGAAATGCTCCAACCAATGACATAACAATTTGATTTCAATTAATTTATTTACATTACAAAAACAACTTTTTTACAAATATATACACAACCATTTAAAAATTTTTAAAAAACCCCATTAAAATGAACATGAAAATTGTTTTTAAAGAAGATGTAATGAATTGTCGGAGTCGAACTCTCTACACTTACCACGAAATACTGCTTGTCGTAGTAAGTGCTCATCAACCAGCCGTCCATCTGCATCCAGGTAAGATTCAAAAGTTTCTTTGTTTAAAGGTTCCGTTCTCAGAGAGTCTTGATCATCAGTGACAGATATCTGCCATTTTTGAGGAAGAATCTGTTCAAAGGATCCATCAAAACTGCATGATCTCGACACAAAAACAAACTCCTCTTCCTCTGCCATTTTCCTTTTATTATTTCGAAACATGTGTGCTAATGTCTTTTTTGTATACTTGTATTTATATTAAAGAATCCAGACATGGGATTCTGATCTAGGGCTAGGCCCAACAGATATGCAACAAATCCTTGAGGTATAACAGTCTGCAATGTATTTTACCAGGTACGAATCGATGGATGTAGCTACTACAGGCACCGACAGTCCAACAACAAGGTTCACTGGCACTGCATGCTAGGCCTAGGTAGGCCCTAGAGGTCCTAAATAAAAGCCGGATGTTTTTGTTACACAAAGTTGGATGTAAAGCCTAATTAGTGTTAGTTCACTTACACACTATTTATTGTCATAGCAGCATGCTCAAAACATGGGAGAATGAATCACCGATGTGGATTTACAGTCCAGTTATCACATTGCGAATTTAGAGAAAAATAAACAAAACTCATCATACACATTGAGGGCGGTATAGTGATTCCGAATTACATCGTAATTTAGATCGTGTTTTACCAGCGGACTGGACTGACATTTTTTTACGGCTCATTAACATAATCGTGGCAGTTCCAGGTTCATGTTTTACTTATAGCTCAAAAAACTGGCATGGCGGAAATTTTGAAGAAGTAAACAGTGAAATGAATTCCTTAGCAATTCTTGTTCGTGATTATATGAGCTATTTTGAAAGGTCAAATAGGAACAATGAAGGGTAAAAAGACAACAACTGTTTCAAAAAAAGGAAGGAAAAGGGGTAAGGATGTATTTTTTTAGAAATTAAATCAAGGCCCGAAATTGAGAGTGGGCTAGGCAGGCGGCGTACTAATACTAGGCCTAGGCTAGGCCGGTAGCTAGGCCTAGCTAGCCTTAGTTAGTCTAGTAGGGCCTAGCCGGGGTTAGTCTAGTAGGGCAGGCCCTAGGCTAAGAGGACTGGTTTTTAGACAGGTAGTGCCTAGGCAGCCTGCATACCTAGCCTAGCTATAGGCCTGCTCCTGTTCTGATGGCCTACAATACTATCGTCGGATCTCGGTAAAAAAACTTGCAATCACATTTAATTTATGGATCAAGTCACCAAGTGCAGATTTTTTTGCAGATTTTTTTTTTGTTCTAGCCTAGATCGCATCCTCTCTGGAATGCTCTCGCTTTTTGTATACTTTATACAGTCAATAAAGTGCGCCCTCTCTAATGAACTTGGTTTTTGTACTTTGCATCTCACACACTGCGATCGATCGAGTATGCCTGAGATATGTTTGTTTAGGCCTAATTGTCAAGATCTCAGTCAGAATCATTTTTTAACGGATTTGAAATAATTCCTGTGAAATATTATATTTCAAAAGTGTCAATACTACCTAGCAACGGAAAATATCATCATGACGGCCGTTTTTATATGCTGGGAATTGGGCTGATGTAGATGTGTACTTAAGATAGATTCCGATTGATGGGCATATATTATTTTCTTAGACTGCAATTGTTAGGCTTATATTATTAGTAAGGGTACATCTGTGTGGCATACTAAATTTATATCATTATTTTAATTTTTAGCTCTCAAAGAGAATGTTCAGGCTTCCACGAGTCTTCCACCTGAGGTTGAAGGTCAGTTACGATGTTACTTGAGAGTTAGCGTGACAAAGATCGTCTGGACAATTTCAAACCATCCAGATGTTGTTCATGTACGCCTTCGATGGTGGGGTGAACTGTCAAATGGCACTGTTTACAGGTTAGTCTGTTGGTTAGCTCACTCCAATTCCATACACAAAGCACAGTGATATTGTAAGCAATGGGTTATTCTTTTACCTTTACCCTTTATATTTTTTAAAAAAGAATATTGTAAATATGTAATATTACACTAGTTATATTTCCATGAATTTTCTGTATTTTTGTAAAATTTTAAATTTTTGTACATTTAAAATTTGGTATGTTTATTAAACAATTTATATACTAATTTTTTGTAATGCTTTTATTATTTATATTACAGTACTAATATCTAGTTTTTGTGGGGGTCCCTTCTGAAACAAGCCTACCAGATTAATATGTCTATAATCCATATGTCTTATTGTCAGTGTATTGCTTTTGTGTTTTGAAATGAATTGTTTTTGTGTTTTGAATGTTAATTTATTTTTCTATT